CAGCCCGCGCGCGCGCTAATTGGAAGGATACGCCCGGAAATGTGTCTCGTTACACGCGGCGCCTACCTGCCACTGCTCGCCTAACGACACTCTGATTTATTACAGACTATATATTAAAATTGATATTTCAAACCCTTCCTCTAGACCTCCAAATTAAACTTATATCAAACGGAAATTCCTAACATGTGTTTATGAAAAGTCAGTGTGTTTAAAACACTTATACCTACTTAAGGTAATATATACCTTTGAGAAAAGTTTCCCGTGAAAGACGCATTGAAATATATCCAAAACGAGCACTCGAAACTCTATCCAGTGCTATAAAAATAAACATCCAATTACTGAACAGCGCAGGTAAAGCGCTATTTGTGAATTTCATGAGGACTTTGTGTGTTAACGTATTAATAAAAGATTTGCCAATTAGTGCTCACGATGTACACGCTCGTATAATTAATGGATGTGTTGTGTCGTATTAGCGTCGGATATAATCTGATTCGAGACTCGTCGGCAATTACCGAAGGCTACAAAATACGACGAATTCCGCGTAATTACTGAGAATATTACGGCAGTGAAGTTAATTGTTTTCGACTTAATTAATTAAGCTTTTGTTTGAAACTAACAGCAAAGTGTAGAGTTGGCAATTCTAAATTGGATCTTGTAATTACCCTCCCCTCCCTTTCGTAGAAACTGTGTACTTTCAATTCTGGGCGAAGCTTTGTTAATGAAATCAATTATAATTGGGAGACAATGCGAAGCCTACACGCATTGCTAAATCAATTACTGTGCCTTAATTAATTTATGCTTGTTACACTAATTACTGGAACTGACATTATTGTGATAGATCTATCTATTATTTAACACGGCGCGGGCGCGGGCGGTGAGTCGGACGCCGCCGTGGGAGTGGGACCGAGCGAATACTGTGTTGTCTGCTTCATTATGGAGAGTTTCCATGCGAGATCGTCAACGGATCGTTACTGCAGCTTCTAATGAGCAGCGTTAATAATAAAATAATAGACGCAATTTAAAATGTTCGCCAACATTTGTTATCAACTTGTTTGTTAAATGATTGTCTGACGGCCATGGTCCCGTTGATGTTTTTCATTCCCATGGGTAATGGATCCATTTAAACGACACCAACGGGCGCGCACGCATGTCTAATTAGCGCCTTATTGTTGTACTATCTACATTTCGACAGAATCTAAACCAATTTTGATTACAATGTTCATTGACGACGATTCGTTCTGTCATATGCCGAATATAAGCGTAAATAGTAGCGTAAGGATTTTGGATGGATTCGATCACACTTATTTGTATTGTTTAATAATAATTCCAAAATTATACACGTTTGTTTCTGTTGACGTAATTTCCATTTGACTTCAATCACAATAAATATATTTTTGTACTTAATTGAACGTTGCTGAATTAATACAGTTACAATGGAAAAAACAGTTTTTGCCCTAAAATTTCTTTTTTAACCCCTTTTAGATTGAAGCAATCGACTAACGTCCCGGTAGTTAGTTTAATTAAGACACAATAATTAAAACAACAAGCGATGCATCAGTATGCGAGTTCGTGGGGGCGCATACACTTGGGACTAATCCACCGTACCCCATTATCCCCAAACACGTACGTGAAGGATTTCTTACTACATAAGAAAAGAGAAGTTTGAAAACCTTTTTTTTTTCAAATAACCTGTTTCAGAGTGTTTTATTATTATGAACTTAATTTATTTTGTATTTCATCAAATAGTCGAAACCTACCCTCTAAAATTATTATATGACTATATTTTAACTTACTTTTAAAAATCGTCACATTTAGCGCAGAAGACAGAAAGAAAAAAACCTTCATTTGACTGCTACAAATGACACCACAAAAGAAAAACAAAACAAACGAACAAAAAAAATACAAAAGGAAGTAAATTACAATTTTCGCTCATAATGTAAAAGTTATTTCTACAGCTCTATTCAGAATTTCATATGCTATGTTGCGATGTAAATAATATTTTTTATTAGAAGTATGTAGCTAGTCCAATAGTGTAATAAAGGAAATGTACAATACATATAAACAAATATTTTTAGCGCGTTAATATAGTGCATCCAGTTTCAACACATCTTGAATAATCTACATTAATATATTTTCAGTGGTGGATGTTTATAACAAATTCCAACTGAAATTTTTTCCGACTAGAAACGGTGTTGCCATTGCATAATCTCAGTACAGAGTACTAAAAAACTGACCTCAACAGTACGTGGAGATCTATTTGCCAAGTTTAATTGAAATCGGTTACCGAAAAGTATGCAAAACTGGATTCATTAGGGGTAGTTTGCCATCCTTAGAGGTGGAATATTTTATTTAAATTTAAATGGGACTACTGACGAGTTATCGCGTAACATACATACAAAAATAAACCAAAAAATACAGACTTGAGACCCTCCTCCTTCTTTTAAAGTCCGTTAAAACCCATGACCAATACAGCAATATAGAATATCCGATAAGTCATTCATTCATTCAAATTTGTTATATTATTTGACACTTTTTAGATCTGTGTTTGGTAAGATAAGGGAAGTCTGGCACTTATTAACGCAGAATCGCATTAAGCCGGTCAGAAAAAGTTTTTGTCCATGTATCAATAATAGGATATTTATTTATTTGACTGATTTGACTCAGTAGTGTTGTTTTATCTAGATATAATGGTCTCTGTCATAACAACTCATGTGCTGACTTCAAATAATTTTTTACAGATATAATACGTGCCTGCTGAGTCGGACACGCAGAATACTACCAGGGTCCTCATTACCACCAATTTAATCTAGTACAATAGCAACCTCTTTCGGAAGTTTTCCCTCAATACTACCGTCAGTTTCAGTGTTGGACTTAAGACCCCAGTTAACTATTTTGTTACTTATGAAATTGTACGGTATGTCGAATATCAGCTTTGTTTTATGCTCTTACTGGTATCTCTTTATTACTGTTCCTTGCTGTTCGTTTGAGGATGCTTTTGTAAACGGTCTTATAACTATTATTTAAGAAATTTAGTGTGACGTCTAAAATAAATAAGATATTGTTAATGTAAGAATGAAATATATGTATAAACCGATTCAATCAAAGTGTTGTTTGGTTTTAACACAACCAATTAAAATAAAAGCACCATTCTTAATCCCATTACTACGTAAGATAGCTCGGAATTTAAAAAAAATCCTGCTGTACATAATTAAAGAGGATTATTATACATCGTTACAAGCCTGACCAAATTTAGCCACAACAAATAAAGATTACAATACTAATTAAAAGTTAATTTCAGATTCGGAGATAGAGTAGCGATCTGGGTAATTCTATTGTGTTTAACGAAATATCTGTTTCGAAAATCTTTAATTATAAAAAAAGAGTTGTATCTAATACATCTCTACTTTGTACTAGGTTGGAGGTTACAGGATGTTAGCATATCATACCATAACTAATGTTTGGATTCATTTGAATTAAGCGATTTTGGTAACAATTTAAAAATATTTATAAATTATGTATTTATTTAAATAGCAAAAACATTGCTTTATTCGTAATGTACTAATAGTGTTACACGAATTTTCGGTTATTTTTTTTTTTGTAAACGAACCCTTGAACGCATTCTCGTCTAATCAAATTAAGAGAGTTCTTGCTGGAGTGCGTAGTGAGAAGAATAAGAGAACCTGTATGAAAATATTGATGAATGTAAGAGACACAAGAGAGGTTTGTCAGGATCGTACTAAGTAGCGATTGATAGTACCCCAATGGGTATTTACAAGGATGTGAATTGTATTGAAAAAACTTTTTAATTTTTATTCTAGTTATGAAAATTAGTAACTCTTTTAAGTGTTAGTACTTACTTGTTTTACTAAAATTAATTAATTACCTAACAAACTTACTAATTTAGTTAGTTTAGTATGATAGTGAAGTAACACTATCAAGTAAAAAACAACCATGTAAAGTTAAAAGAACACTCAGCTTTGCAGCTGCTATGTTTAATTCCAACTCTATGCCACTTATAATAAAAATGGTTCAAAGAGCAAAGTTTAAAGCTATGTGCCGACTGACTGTACCTAGTTCCTTTTAATAAATGAAGTTAAATCAAAGTTAAAAGTAAATTAACTTTTAGACTTAAAAGTCTAGCGTAAGCGAGCTGAACTGGGTAGCAATTAAGTAATTAAGCGTCTGCGGTCGGCAAGCGCCCCCGTCTTCGACACATTCGATAGCCACGCACTCATCCGATAAAATGACTAACAACTTTGTCGTATATACTTAAAATAATATTATATTGAAAATAATGCAAAACATGTATTTATCTATTTGGGTTAATTGTAATCGAAATCTTTAAATAAATATGATAATTAGACAGCTTTTTGTAAATATCAAATTGCTTAAACTTGTTTGTTATTTAGCTTATAAATTATGCATTGCTTCATTATTTTAAGAAATTTATTGGCTATTAAACTTGCAATAATATAATGTTCTCTATAATTAATGTCTCTAAAGGTTGGCAATGAGTTCATTTTGTGGAAATCTTGTCTAATTTTACACATTAACGCGCCCACTTGTAATAATAATCGTATTGAAAACAAAGTTTGCTCGAAAACTTAATTGTAACTTGGTAACTTGATTACCACTTAAAACTTTTATAATTGTAGATAACACATTATAAACACATAATTATTTATATGATGGTAGCGTCATACGTAAATAGCATCAAAACATTGAAGTATATTTAGATGTAATAACATGTATTTTGTTCTCATTCTCTTCAGCATGTAAAGGATCAAAACAGAATCTGAACCCTTTAATTAGAAGCAAATGCTTTAATTAAAAGTTAATTTCCGTTTACAGTGAGCAAGCGCGATAGTTATCAGTATAATAAATTAGTAGATAAGCTACCAAATTGCTATCATTTTCCCATCAGAAGTTTAATTAAACTCAGTAGGTAAGTGGTACTCGTAGAGACGTCAAACATACATATTTAAATAGAAGTAACAGACCTCTATGGTTCCTTGTGAAAGATGTAAACACAGCACTACACCAAATAGTTTACTCCAAATACTTGTTCTTTTAGGCAGTTCCAAAACAAAACAAATTCACAGCAAAGTTAGCTCACTGAAATAATAGTCCACTTCTATTTTGTCACTACAAGATTAGAGATGTGTTAAGTGACTAAAATTCTAAAATCAACAATGGTGTTTATTGTCCAATTATTTACGCAACTGTCGACTACGATACTTTTTACAGTTCTTGGTGAAACATTGACGAAAAATGATTAACCGGCGAGCTGTCTATCGTAGCTCGAGTAAAGTTTGCGAAAGAGAGAAGTCAAAACGACACGTGTGGCGATGAGGGAGGCTCGCGACGGAGTGAGCTGGCCGAGTGGCACGAACACGAGTATCGCACGGCGGCGGCCCGCGCCCCAGGCAGGGCGCCCGCCCCGTCCGACAGCCCGATACGGGGAGGAATGAAACAACACTCTAACATAATGACGGGGTCGGAACACTTTAATACTCTAATTGAAAAAGTATACTCTGACAACGGCTTTTAAGTGTTATTAAGTACTTAAATAAACCCAGAAATGTTGTGTTGCCTCGCTATGGAATTATAATTTGGTTAACTGGCAATAAATTAGGATGATGTCATTAAATATATAAATAAATATAAATAAAACCATGCTAAACTAAATAAAGCGTGGACTTATTAACCAACATTTTCTATAAATGTTGAAAAATTTTATCGTAAAACTTGAAAAAAAGCAATTGGCAAGAGCGTCACGTCCCGCAATGCTACATGTGAGGTAAGAAATATCGCAAACACTACCTCGCTAGTGGATACCGGCCTAAATTCAATTCCACCCCTTTCCTCGACGCCCGCTCCAGTCGGAAACCAATCTTCTTTACATTCCCTCGCCGACAAATTTATATTCCTCCAAACGTCCTCCCTAATAGGAGACGGCCGAACGGTGCCGAAGGTGGTCGAGTGCGTAAATTATTAAGCAAGCGGCAGCGGTGACCGCAAAGAAACGGCAAGTGAGTGTCCGGCGAGCAGCACCGTACACCGGCGCTGAGAATTTAATTTCCACGGCCGCCCGCCCTCGCCGCCATTGTCCGCCAGTATTTCATTACGGCCGAGCTTTTCTATTAATAAATCACTCTTCGCCTGTGCCGTTTAATTACGTCCCGGATCCGGCCAACGTCTGATTACACTTTCATCGAACATCTAATTAGGAGTGCAGCCGGGAGGCGGAGTGGCGAACTGGCTTCAGCGGACGTGTGTATTCTTTGTTCGGCAGATATTACGCTCATCCCGCATTACGTGGCGCTAAAGCGAAGGCAACGTCGACGCCCGCCACCCGCCGCGCCGCTGCACTGCCTTCGCCGGAAACTTTGAAATGAACGAACTTTGATTAAAGTCCATCGCTTGCACTGCTTAATTCAACAATTAAAACATTCTATTGTTAAATATGCACAAATAGACGTTGAATTACAGAAGCAAGTCAAGTCAATCATACATACCTACATTTTAATATGAGAATTGATTTGGACTCTTGTTGATATTTTGAGGAAATCTTAGACAATACAAATTGTACAAAAACGATAGGTTGCCGCCTGAATCGCATAAACTTTCCACCAGTTTCCAAGAAACATATTACAATTACATAGAGTTTATAAATGATAATTCTTGCAAAAACGGTTTTAATTACTAGCATAAAGTTAGTATATCGAAGTTACCTGTAACTGGAATTCAAACTTTTTTTTGTAACAATATATCGAATAATAAACTTCTTCGAAATAATAAGTGGAATGTACCGCTTGCATTTTAGCAAGGCTCTTATTATTCCTTTGCTAAGATGTGAATATAATTAGTGGACCTGGTGAGTAACGACGAGGAACACATGGCGGAGAAAGTTACGGACCAACCGGCTTTGGCGGCGGTGGCTCAAGACCTTTTTTAATTTCCTGAAGCCGAGCGGAGCGGAGGCGAGCGCGGTCGGCCGGCCCCGGGCCCGCTGCCCGCCCGTTTAACTTATTGCCACGGTTAACGAGAATACGCCGTTGTGTGCCGGCAAAATTGAAGGATTTACTCCGCGTCCCTCCTTTATTAAACGTATTGCACACTCGCAGCCTCCGTGTGTGCGTGCCCGACTCTACACACAGTATGCCGAAATTACATTTCACATGAGTCGTAATAACAAGGGCGGGCGTAAATCACGAGCATTATTAGTTTCTCTTCGTACTCCTACCATTTGTCACTTTCTATTGACAGGGAACGCGGCTTATTTGACCAAAAATACAATATTACCTACTCATATTATCTGTGAAAAATACTACCTTCGTGGTACCTTGCTGCATAGAATGTAATTTTTGTATCAAGTTAATTTTGTTGTATTATTTGAAAACTTTCTTATTTATAGTATTTTTTTGGCGACGTAGTGTATGGCAACGATATTGTATAAAGCTAATGAAAAATAATTTATTAACCGTACGCTAGGCAGACAGGCAACACCAGCGTGTGCGCCCGCGCGCAAGACGCAATATCACCGGACTTCCTGTAAGCTAAGCATATAGCCTCAAAGTTTCGCAATATACGCGCACCAAGCCCGTCCTTTATTAAAAACTATTCTCACATTTTTAATTAAAACTGTGTTCCCCCACTAAAACTTTATTTAAGCAATAAAGGCAGCGCAATTAGCGGCGCTGTCCCCGCCGGCGACTTCACCTACTTTTCCTCTGCTTTAATGAGTGTTTTTTAATAAAGCCCGAGACTGCTGCAAGTTTATTAATTTAGTTTAACTTGTGTCACGGCACCGGCACCGGCTCCGTTTACTGCCACCCGCCCTATTGCTCGCCGCCCGCCCGCCTTACCGCCCGCTTCTCACACGCCACGCCGTACTTTTTAATTTTTTACTAGACTCTAATCATTACAGGAAACTAATACCAGTAAACTGTATATCTCACTCTCTTAAGCTTTTGTCACTTATGGTATAAATATAACAATATAAATATACATATATACGTGCATCGCAAAATAAGCCGAAAGATGTTTTCTGGTTTACACATTACGATTGCAAAGTAACAATCGTTGTCGAGCTGCGAACTAAAAGCTTCAATGACGTGGGGGCCCGGCGTGGTGCACCCCGCACCACCCCTCCAAGTGTTCCGGCCATAATTACATTCCCGTGTCTAACAAATGGAGAATCGGTGTTGATTTGTGTTTAGCCGAGTCCGTGATCCGCGGCCCACGCCAGCGCCTGGCCTCGCACTCTGCGACTCCTAGTTTGCCAACTTTACTATTCATTTTCCTCGCTTTCTGCCTCAATCTTACCGAGTCTCTAAAGTATCAAATTATTCTGATGAGGATGATCCTCTATGAATTTGGAAGCATAACTTATTTTCGTTACTTAACGAGTTTCAAATGTTTCAAATGTGATTAAAAAATAAAACAAAAGCTATTCCAAGAATAAACATTTTTAACCCACCATAAATGCCCGTTGTAATATTAATGCTTTTTTCCGAAAATAAAAAAGTGTTAAATGGGAATGGAATGAAGCGTTGCATTACTTGCGAGTTGGTAATTGCGAGCATATCGGCGAGTGAAAAACGAACCTCGGCCGGCGCGCGGCGCGGCGGCCTAAAAGCTTCGCGGCAGATTGGATCAGCACACGGATTTTCCATTACGCGACTATTCTTTACTTGGTACGCTTTGAGAAGTCCACAACGGGTCATGCACGCTATAAATCCACTTATGCTTCATTTTACCTCTCGTAGACAAGCACTATAGCGTAAAAGTCTTGACTTTTACACGGGCTTTTTATA